CTCTTATCATGACCACATTCCCAAACCTGGACTCGATCCACAGAAAGTGATGCTCTGCATTTGGTGGGACATCAAAGGAGTAATTAATTTAGAACTCCTCAATCCACAGCGAACTGTCAATGCAAAGATCTATAGTCAGCAACTGGAACGTTTAAATCAAACCCTTCATCAGAAATGTCCTTCACTCCTCAGCCAAAAAGGTGTTCTTCTCCATTACAATGCACCTCCACATGTGGCACGTTTGAAACAACACAAGATTATGGAGTTGGGTTGGGAAGTTCTCCCCCACCCACTATGTTCTACAGATATGGCACCATCAGATTATCATCTTTTACGTTCGCTGCAACACTATCTCAATGGGAAAACGTATGCAAATGTGGAAGGTGTTAAAGAGGACATCAACATGTTTTTTGCTACAAAGCCAAGTGATTTCTTCACTCAGAGCATTAATAACCTGATTGTAAGATGGAAAAGCATCATCGATAAGAATGGAGACTATTTCATTTAATAAATGTTTTACTTTGATATATAAGTTGTTCGGGTTTTTTCATCTAAAAAAGCGACATTAATTTATTGACGACCTAATACAAAGAAAAATAAATGATTTTAAATTGAAGATATTGTCTGAGTAACTTCCATTATGTATCATAATTATAATATTTGTAGATGAAACAAAACAATTCTCATGAATATACTTTATTTATAGCACTCACTTACTTAGTCTTATACATTTCACACCCCTGGGGTAGATATGAGACGCATATTAGGTCAATATCCTCAGCATGTGTCGAAGGTCAAGTGTGTTTACTTCTAGCTCCAGATAAACATATAATTTAAGGTCATGTTTGTTTACTTTTGTTGTTGATGACAGCACGTGTCGAAGGTCATGTTTGTTTACTTTCGGCTCTAGACGAACGTATAGCTGAAGGTAATGGTAAACACTATAGGTAATTGTGTGAAGATCATGTTTGTTTACCTTCGGTGTAAATGACGGGTCAAGGTCATGTTTGTTTACTTCCGGCACCTAAGTGCCTACCTATACTACTAATATGCCTGTATAACATGGATAAATATATCAAAAACACACAGCAAATACAAAACAATATATTTTAACTAAAGCATTTAGAGTCCTATGATCAACAAACTCAATATTTCTGCACAAATATTCAAACACGCCAACACTATTAGACGGATTCCTGGATAGCTCGCTTCAATATTATAAGAAAAATATTAATAAAAATGAACTGATGAGCAGATTAGAGAGTTACATAATACGTCTTAAGTAAGAAACGTTCAGGCCAAACAGTGCTAGGATAACTGAATCCTAGACACAAACTTAGTTCTATTTTAAAAGTATTTTGTATGTAAAAGTACTAGTATGTGTGGTTGTGTGACTGCTAAGCGGAACCGTATTGTGAACACGGACTAATAGTGCGATCATACATAAGTGAAGCTTGTGAAAATATACGAATTAATATTACCTCATGAATTGGACATAGCACGATAAGGTCATGTTAATTAAAACTGTGGAAAATTTAACATACTGTGAATAATACAACAACGTAACAAGTGTTATTACCTAGGATTCAATAACAGTGCAAACAAAATAACAATTACTGAGAGAGAGGAAGAGGAAGTTAAATGCTGAACTTGATTCTCTCTGGTCCAAAACATGGACTGAATTCCGATGAAAATTTCCTAATAGCTTCTGGTGTTTGATTTTCCGAAACACAAAGCAATGTTTTCACTGTTAATTACTCCCGAAGGCAAAGTATTTCTCTGAAACCTGGAGAGTATCTAAAATCTGTAAACAGGGATATTTTTTAAATTAATATGTTTAGGAAACAAAAGTGATTGTATCAATAAAGACAGAAGCCAGGTAAAAAATTTTAAATGAGCGTCAATGGTTTTACAAACATGCATTTTTACAGCACTTGGACAACGTCTTGGATTCATTCTTGCCCATGACAACGCTTTTGGCAGCTTACTGAATCCTAGCATAACTGAGTATAAGGATATTCATCACGTCCGAGATAACTCTAATGTTGGGAGAGTTTGGAATGTTACAAAGTCAGAAAATAGCTCATAAGCCTTACTTTTACATAAGTAGGGCAAAAGTGTTCATTGACTAACAAACGTTAAGCTTAGTTTTATTTTTTACCATATAGGCTGCTTGGGGTGGAGGCTGTTTATTGTCTAGGAAGTACAGAGGTCTACTGGACGGCATCGAAAGGTAATATCAAAATTATTACAAATACATAGATTATACTTTTGAACACTAGTTAAGCTGATTAATCACGATAGCTTAGTATTGTTATGATATGTAACATTTGTTAAGTAAAATATGTAACTAGTTTTATTTCTGCTATTTTATAGTTAATAATGACGAACTATATTTTAGTAGTCATATTTAGTCGCAAAAAAGGAAGAACGAGCTTCCAGACTTGGCTCAATGCAGATGTGTTTTTAATTGGAAAAATGTATGTGTTGTTTATAGACTTGGTTCAAAACAAATGTGTTATTAATTGGAAAAAAACGTATGTGTTGTTTACAGACTTGGCTCAGTGCAAATGTGTTATTAACTGGACAAATGTATGTATTGTTTACAGACTTAGCTCAATGCAGATGTGTTTTTAATTGGAAAAATGTAAGTGTTGTTTACAGACTTAGCTCAATGCAGATGTGTTTTTAATTGGAAAAATGTATGTGTTGTTTATAGACTTGGCTCAAACAAATGTGTTATTAATTGGAAAAAATTATGTGTTGTTTACAGACTTAGCTCAATGCAGATGTGTTTTTAATGGAAAAATGTATGTGTTGTTTACAGACTTGGCTCAATGCAGATGTATACACCTGGAAAAAAGTTAAGCACCCCCAAATATTTTTCAGGATTGCTTATTGAAAATAAGGTTTAATTTTCATGATGTTGAGCAATGTTCATAATTTCAAACATAATTAAAAGGATGTGAGCGTT